GGCACACGGTCAGCCTCTGCATTTGGGCGAATGTAGTCGAAGCCGAGAAGTTGGCCAGCTGAACCAGTCCAGGTCACTCAGGATGTCACGTGCTGAACGGCAGAAATGGTTTGACTGGGCTGGCCTGCAAGGCTGAAATGCAGAAGCTCTGCATTGAAGCGAGAAAATAAGCGCTCGAGTTTGTCGCGCCGGTGAAGCCGCCGAAGATGTGAAGTCACTTGATTTGAGCTGGAAGCAACGGCATGTTCACCTGGATGCATTGGAGGAGCTTCCAGTTCGGAGAAGGCAGGCACTTGGATTTGAGGTTGCATGCCTGTGAGCAGGCAACCGTGACATCTCCATACACTTTGGTTTTGGAATGTCGCATGTACATGCCCTTTTAGACCTCAGCGCATGTGAACGCTACCTTGCCGCCGATCGGCAGGTTTTCATCGGAGTGGACTTCGGCACGAGTGGTTGCCGTGCCGCTGGGGATCCTGCCATTGTGATGCTTCATGGAGTCAAAGGGTCAAACAAGTTGGCTAGAATTTGAGACTGTTGGCATGCATCGGTCGTTTTATGCAAAGCTTGTTGTTTCCAAGCTGGCTGAGCAGGTGCAATATGTTGCAATGTTGTGCGAAAGGCCTGCCTTGACTCCAATGCCTCGCTGTTGGCTGAAAGTTCCGTTGCTTATGGTGCCAGCCTCAGCTTTCGCAGTCGCAGCTTTTGATGCCGCCAAGCACCTTGCGCAGCTTTTGGCCCACGCCCAGGCGACGCATCGGGCCCTGAGTGCTGGCGGGAAGCGCTGTGCAAGGTAGCTGGGATTCCAAGCGCAGCCAGCGGCGAAGCGCAGAGGCAAAGGCATGGAAGTCGTCCTTGAAACTCCAGAGCATCCTTGCAGCCCACGGCTGTGATTCAAGCCCCGCAGCGGTAGTTGAGCTGTTGTTTTTTGCCTCATCGGGCGATGTCACCGGGGACGTGAGCCGCTTGCTCTTCAGCTTAGGTGAAGGAATTGCCAAGACGAGAGTCGGCGGCAGCCATTTGCTGGCAGCCCAGTTTGGAGGGTTGGCAACCATGAGAGTTGGGCATTGTAGCCTTTGCATCGAGTGTGATCTTTGAGCCCAGGCATTGATGGGACGTCGGCAGAACACTCGGATTGCATACATCAAACTTAGCTGATCCGGCGCCCCCTGAGGCCACAGCATTGCTTTGTGGGGGCCTTTGCGATCCGGCATTCGAACGTCCAGTGGGTTGATACACATGTTTCCTGAAAAGCGGTTGCAGGCAATACAATCAGGAATGGAGGTGAAGAAATTAGCGAAGGTATGAGAGTGCTGATTGCTCGATGGATTGAGGGGCAGCACCCCAGCACCCCAGCACTCCGGATTTGCAGACCGGCTCAATATGAACAGACTGCTGCCCGCGGTAGCAACAGAAGACCGTTAATGTCTTGGGCGGTATGTCAGGACGATGCAAGATGAGCCAGCAGTTTTCCCCGTCAGATTCCTCAGAAGAGGACCCGGCCAGCGGCGCGTCGGGAACTCCTCTGGACCCACGAGCCGCGCGAGACGCGAATGGGTACAGCCCATACAGCTCGCCCATGTTTCTGCCGGCGGCACTCCCCGGGTACGAGATGCCCGATCGTTCCGTGCCGCTTCCACGTTTCCTTCAAGCCAAAACGACGGCCATGGCTTCCGCAACAGAAGCACCGGCAGCCGGTATGAAGCCGGAAGTGCAAGAGGACAGACGTTTTGGTTGTCATTTGTTGATGAGGGTGGGTGCCTCAGAGTTGGTCATGCTGGCTAAGTCACTAGCGCATTGAATCCAAGAGTGACGTACCAAAAGGTAGCCACCCCAACGTTGGTGCAACGCGCGAGCAAGTGACGAATCCCCTGACATACCGCACGTCGACACAGTGGCAGATTGTGTAATGCATAAGGTCATTAGTCAAGCGTTGCCTGAGGACAAGCCGGAGAACGTGTTGAATCCTGGAAGTATTTGGCATCCAGATCTTTGTTCTCGCCCCTGCATCTACTACGGAAGTGGCAGCTGCATTCACGGTGCTGCCTGTTCCTTCTGTCACCTCTCGCATGAGAAGCGCGCACCACACCTCGACAAGCGGAATCGCCAGACCCTGAAGGCCGGGAGTAGGGCCGCGGCTCGCGCGGCTCGCGCTCGCCGGATGCATTCAATGTTCATTGCTTGGGCCTGGGACCTGCAGCTCTCACATGGCCGTGGGTCAAAACCAATGGTACCATTTTGGGGCAGGTGCACCACCCCTTTTAGTCTATTTTAGTGGGCATTGGGATGTTCCCGGGGGTACGGGATTTTGACCCATGGCCACATGTCACTGAATGAAGCCTATGTCTCAAACATGCGTGCGGCATGGCCGCACTGTTGTTTGGGCTGCAGGCAGGCCATGATCCGATGCCACAGAATTGAAATATGAAAGACTTCCCAGAAACAAAACAACAATTGCTCCCACCAGAATAATGACACTGAGATTTGCGCGAGGCCTACCCTCATTCCCCTTCGCCCGGCAGGTCTACCATGTGAAGTCACGGGTTTGTTTAGGATTCCAGTGCTATTTTGTGTCCAATGATGTATTTCTTCATGATTTTCCAGCAAAGAATCAGGTTGGTCATGTGTCTTCTTGTTTTTGGTTGGATTGGGGGGGTAAATCCTCGGTGCCGCAATTTTTCGGCCGGTTAATTTTTTGTTCTTGCCTCGCTGCACGCGATGTTCTTATTCTTTCCCCGAGGCCATCTCCAGCGATGAGCTCTACCAGATCGTGATGCCCGAAGTCGCCAAGAAGCTGTCAGAGCTGTCTTCACACAGGCCCGGGCTTTGGAGAGCAGTCGCGCCTCACTTGGACTTCGTGATCGGGTCCAACTTCCAAAGCAAAGCAGCGCCTTGACCGTACGTCGGGTGGGAGGAAATATGTCGGGTTTTTAAGATGGGATGGGTATAGCGTTATTTAGCATGTGAGGCATGTGCTGTGAGTTGTGCAGACAGGCTATGCGCTTGCGTAAAGTACCAGACCAACTGAGGATGGCAGATTCCGGGCGGTCTTTCGAAACATGACGGTGAGGCAACAGCTGCACTTGTTATCGCAGAAGTTTCAGGAAACTGACAAGATAAATGATGCAAACCGCGTCCAAGCAGTCATGCAGGCTATAGAGCTACTCGGTTGCAAGCATGTTTTTGGCAAAGTGCAGTTGTTATTGTGTGCAATGCTGTGTTGTCAATCATGTCAACGCTTGCGTGGTGCCCCAATAATATATTTGCACCCAGCGCTTTCTTTTCTTTGAATTTGAGCAAAAGCCGAGGCAGCAGCGCAGTGTATGGTCATGACCCATTGGTTGCGGCACGTAGTAATGCTATGGTTGCCTGGTGCATGATTTGTTTGCTGGGCCTTTCGTTCAGCTTGTCGTGAAGAGAGCTGTGTGCCCGGCATGAAATGCTCGGCTCGTTGAATGGCCACGGAAAAACACCTGCGTGGCACAACAGCTGACATTCTCTCGGAAGGCAGGGGCTTAGCAAAAGAGTCTTGGCGGACAGCCAAGAGGTCTATTGCGCAATGCATCAAGAAGCATATGTTAGGCCATGCCCATTGGCGGCCGCTGGTGACTTAAACAAGGAGTTGCCCAAGGGAACTGCAAGCTCCGGAGAGGCTGTTCAATAAATAATGAGTGCTGAAGTCTAGTTTGTGACTCGGACAGAAACTGGTTACCACAGATGGGTGATGTTTCCAAGTTTGACTTTGAGCCCGCGGATGGCAAGACCATTGCCACCCCGGGCTCTTGCAGTCTCAATGTTCGGCTGAGACTTGAGACTGCTAGCAGCCTCTGTTGGTGTTTGCGAAAGCTGTCCCTTTGTGCTTCGAGGCATGTGCTTTTTCAATTCATTGCTTTATTGCCAGCCCAGCGCCTACGCGGCCCTTTTGCAGGGAAAACCTGAGATGGGTCATAGCTGCGATTCACTGCAGCGTGCACTCTTTGCAGATAACAGCCGCATTTACAATGACCAATTGGTCTGACTTCTGATAGACTTTGGACCATCTTGGCCATCATACGGCTTGGCATCGCAAAGCGACCCAGTCTGCCTGGGTGTTGAGGCCTTAGTCGGAGCCGCTTTTGGTATTTTGCATTTCGGAAGCCAGCTCTGTCTCTCTTTCTAAAGATGCATGAAGAAGGCTTAGTACAAAAGCACATCGTGAACGAAATAAATCGCAGCGCCTCTGACGTGGAGAGCCTTGGCCGGAAATCCAGCTAAGGCTCTTTGGCCCGTTCCAAGATTTGGGCATCGATTCAATCGGGAGCGCGCCGGGGAGCGCCAGAGGAAACAGGTCATGCATTAGTCATGCATGGGCTTTTTTTTGCATGAACCGCTTGCTTCCTGGCTTGCTGCCAAAGCTGGCGATGCCGCGTCCAAGTCCACCTCTCTCCCAGGAGACAGGAGTTGCGCATCAATTATGGGCAAGGGTGGCTAAGTGACTCAAGCCTGGTCGCAAAGCAGCCGCATGCAATTGTACGGTGAGGGTCTCCGCTAAACCTGCTTAATTATTTCTGAAGTTGTATCGGTGAGATGGGATTAACACATCTCATATCACCGTCCACCGTCCCATGCGGCTCAACGGACTGCGCAGGTTGCGAGAGCAACGCATCGATTTCACTTGTGTGAGATTGGTGATGACCTTCACAGCTCATGTTTCCAGCCAGTGCCACAGTACAGATACCTCGGCTGACGTTGTGCTTTACAGTGTGGGAGGTTGATACGCGTGCGTGTCAGCTTGTTTCGTGGCACTCGCTGTCTCCCTCTGGGAGCTGCATTTGAGCGACGGGTCAACACAGGGCTTCCTGGCCACGGTTGTGCTGCCCCTCCCCGGCCTCGAGTCGAAACAGGAGTGAACTATCATATCATCGGTGAAAAGATTCGCGGTGCAGTGAGCGTTTGACACTGACCCAATCAACATGGAACCGGCGTCATGGTTTGGACGATGTTCCTTTTTAACCTCGCAGTCTGGCATTGTCCTGGCGTGCCCGATCAAAAGCCACGGCATTTTGAGAAACCGAGGCAGCTCAGCAGATGGACATGTTCTGGAAGGCCTGCAAAGATTTGTCGTGCGCCTGCAGCAGGCTGTTGTTGCATGCTGTTTCTATCGGCTTTGGAGCGCAGCCGCTGAAATCTGGTGAGGCATGGGGAGGCTGAATGCATTTCGCGCGAAACAGTGGATCAGGGAGTGACCGGGGCTTTGGCAAAGCTGCATATTGAGCTTTGAGATTCCGTTGGTTCGTGCCAATCGCATTGCCATGAGAAGATGTCTTGGAATTGGAGTTGGAAAAGTTCAACGAACTCAAAGATTGTATGGAATTGAGATTTTGAATTGTGTCTATTGGGCTCGGCGCTTCCAACCTTGACAAGGTCCCACGGCACACGGCGGAAGCATGAGACTCGCACACGAGGGGTGGCAGTGGCGATTGTTTTGCAACTATGGGATTCGGATTGTGCCAATATGCAAGGGTTTCTAAATATGAGGTCAGCAGTACATGTCGCTTCTCGCAACCGAGCGGTATACCAGTCAACTCTGCCCAGCAGGTAGGACGTCGTCCCAAATCCAGAAGCAGTGTGACAAGTTTGCAAGTTGATTTGCGTATTTGCTGAAGCTGCTTGGTGCAATAACCCTGCAGCGTGTGGAGTTTGACAGTAGGTAGTATCATATCAATATGGTTCTTTCTCTCTCGCTCTTTGTCTCTCACTTTCTTTCTCTATCTCTCTCGCTTTGTGTGCTGTGTGAAATCCTTATTTGTTTCATTCTTTGTATGTACCCTGATTAGTTGCTTTACTCCTTGAACTATGCCTATCCGTTCGTTGCAGTTCTCTCTTTGTTCACCTCTTTGTTTCGTCCTGTCGGCATTTGTTATTTACTTGTGTTACTTGTTTATTTTGTTGTGCTCATTTGTGTTTCCAATAGTAGTTTAGTCATTTGATTATTTCTCACTCCTGTTTTGTTTATGTCCCTAATTTCTTTGTTATTTGTTTCTTTCTTTACTTCTTTCTTTATTCCTTCATGCCTTCCTTGCTTTATTTCTTTTGTTTTTGTTTCTTTCTTTCTCTTTTTATTTCTCTTCCTTTTTATTTGTTTCTCTCTCTCTCTCTCTTTTTCCGTCTTTCTCCCGCTTTCTTTATGCTTTTGCCCTGCTTATCTCGCTGTGCCCTTCTTGTGTTTTGTCTGCCTTACTTTCTTCTTGTGTTTTTCTGTTCTCTTCCATGGCCTCTTTCTCTTTCTGTACTTCTTCCCATGGCCAAAAATGCCAAGGCTTCAGCTGCATCCCGGGTTTTTCCGTGGCCGACTCGGCCACCAACTCGGGACCCGGGGGACCCGCACAGGTCCGTTGATGTACAACTTCTCCTGTAGCGCCGCTGCTGTGCAGCGCTGCCGCGCCACAGCCTCCGTGGGGGAAAGCACAGCAGCTCGCTCGCTCGAGTCACTCGACTTTTCTACGTAGTCCCACTTGGGTATGGCTCAAAATGGAAGAACTGGGAGTATGCGGATTTTAGTCTTCGGTTCAACCTGCCAGGGTTCCATGTTGGTACCGGTTTTTGAGCCACGGCCACTTGTGAGACTACATTCTGCTCATTGGGAAGCTACTGAAATCGCATGAACGTCACACGTTGGCGCCGCAAGCGCCGGGTGGGGCTAGAATTGGTTCGGTCGGAGCGTCACTCCGTTGAAAAGTGCCATGGCTGAATGTTGTCATATCTCCAGATCCTCAAGCTTCGTGATAGAGAGTCCCCCAGGCCATCTTGCCGAATCCAGACCACACTGCAGCAGCTTCCAGCTCCACACTGTGCAAGGCGCATTGCAGAGCTGGTGCTGCGAGGTTTTTCTTGTAATGCTAAGGGCTGTGGCATCCTCGGTTGTATAGTGAATACCCCCAATTACAGGGATTTGACAAAGTCGTGCCTTCGTTTGAGGCATTCCTTTCATTCCATGGGGGAGAGGGCTTCGAAGAAGTCTTGCCTCTTTCCAAAACGCATAGGAACTCTGCATGTTTGAAGGGGTAGGCTGTTGGGAGGCATTGCAGTGGAAAATTGTTATTGCGTGGGGTTTAGGATGGTTTAGGCATGTTCTATCTTATCCGCCTGGGAGCGTTTACAGTGTGTTTCGCAATCTTGAGACTTGACGTCTCTTTTGCTACAGCTGGCTCGAGTCGTCGGCGCCTTGCTTTTCCTCTCACCCGGACTAACCTGGCGTGTTTGCAGGGCTGAGCGGGTGCGCTTGAGCGGGGGTGCTTACTATTTGGCTGGCGTCTGTGCAGCGCTGAGCCGGTGTGCTTGAGCGGGGGTGCTTACCATTTGGCTGGTGTGTGTGCGCAGGGCTGAGCAGGCGCGCTTGAGCGGCTGGCGTTCGCAGGTGCGGAATTGAGTCGAAAAGTGGGCGCGGAAGTGAGTTTTAGTTGATGGGAGCGGGTGCAGAAGTGAGTGAACTTGTGGGCGCGGGTTCGGCACATGTGGGCCCAAACTCTTCAACGGGCGTTCGGTGATCTCGTTTTGATCTCGTTTTTTGCCAGGGTGCATCGCGTGTGTGCCTGCCTGCCTTCCAGAGAAAAAACTCCAGGACGCGAGACTCACGGTGCAAGAGCCGGCAAAGCCCACCTATTGTATCATGTCTTCCTAATCTCTTCCCCCTATTAATGCATACGCCCCCCCTTATTATAAACTAATCCACAATATATATATATATATATATATTTATTTATTTAAGTTGGGTTTTTGGGTTGGGTTTTTTGCTTTTCCAACAATGTGAGGGTTCACATAGGATTTGGAGGAAATGGATTGAATTGTAAGGTCCGCGAGTAAGCGGTTTAATAAGGAAATTTGATGTATCATTCTATTTGTTTCCATTCACTGGTTGTTTGTTTGCAGCCAGGCAGTGGATTCCTTAATATCCCCCAAAGAATTGAAACTTGTTTGCATTGAAGTCAGGGAGTCAGGGACAACCAGGGACAACCTTTTGGGGAGAGAGTCAAGAACAACCTTTTGGGGAAGCAACCTTTTGGGGAATTGAGGAACCCACCTTTTGAAAAGTGAGGCTGGAAGCTAGCTAAAAGTGCCCCCAAATAAGGATTCCAAGACTTTAGTATTGGTTTAGTATTGGCACAATGGAAAATCAAGTGTGCGGAGTGGAAATCTGGCCTCGGGCCCCAGATTTGCACTTATCATTAATGGGGGTCATTCATTAATAGGGGGAGTATGCTTGGCGTTCCATTGGTTTTCATGTTCCTGCAGACGCCTCGCGGGGCTGGAAGACATGCTTTGCCATCAGTAGCGTTCCATTGTGTTTCCGTGTTGACACCTGTCTTTTTGTAGCATGATCAGCTCGGTGATGCCAAGCGTTCCACGGGGATCGTTGCCGAGGCGTGACTTAGGAGTGACTTCTTGGAATCGGCGTTTACATGGGGGAACACATGGCCACACAGATAAAGGAGTGACTTAGGCATGACTTTGTCGCTTGCCTGTAGTCACGGATGTAGTCAGGGATGTTCGTCAAAAATGATTAGCCTGGGGTTTTATACATCATTATATCCCTGACTAAACATGGTTTCTTGGCATTGCTTAGCGCGCAGGCCTGGGAGTGGATCTTGCAAGGCAAAGCTGGGCCCGGGAAAAGGCCGGCGGTAAGAGCAACCCGGGGCTTCGAGATGTTAGTGTGGCTGAAAATTAAACCACAAATCCGCAGGTGTTGGTCCATGATTTCACTTACCAGGGATCCATTTGGGCACAAAGTTGTTGACCCAGAGCCATATGTGGCTCAAAATGATGCCGCAGGTTTTGGTTTTTTCTTCCAGTTGCCAAGGTGCCAAGGTGCCAAGGTGCCATGTGGGTACATATGTTGAGCCATAGCCATATCGCAGCATGCCGTACCAAGGAGTAGGCAGTTTCTTTGGAGTCAAGCTGCGGCGCGGGCAGGTGTATTTATGACTGACATTTCGGGGCACGAAGTTCGTACAGCAGGTGCTGTGCTAAAGTTTGACAAGTACTCAGTCACTGCAAGGCAATTGCGGAACCGATGAGCATGGACGTTTGTGAGTACGCAGTTGAAAAACCTGAAAGCGAGTTCCGTCAGAGGTTGGTACATCAAGCGGACTGGCCCGGAAACTCAGGGGCAGACCATACGACGTTTGCCAAGTTTGACCATGACCGGTCAGTCCACGTTTGTCTCGCGAACAGTGCTTCATCGCTAGTTCTTTTAGAACTCACAGGCAAGCACATGACCTGCGATAGGGCAGATGGTTGAATCCAGTTATTTGCTGCTTCTCCAAACGTTCGACTGGTCCGGGAATTCTTTTCAAATTTGGAGCATTTTCAAATTGGACCCCTGTCCCACGTCAAACGGTTCCGGTCAAGCGGGGAAGCGAGCGACGGCTCGTTTGAGGCTCACAGCACAGCTTCTGGGCACCGATGTGCCGTCGCCAGGCCATAGCGTTCCATGAGCAACGGTTTTCGTATTTTTTTGGGGATGTATGTCATAAAAAAAATAAATAAATAAATAATGTGTTGTCATGTGTTGTCATTTTTTGGCGTCATCTACGGTGGCGATTTTGGGGATTCAAAGGAAGAACTTACAGGGCAATCTGCAGGACATGGCCCCAAAACACCCGAATTGAGCTGTTTCCTACACCCCAATCCTTTGAGGGATAAATTTGGGGCACTCACCAAAACACGAGGAGCTGGGAGTTGACCCTGGCTCACATCACGTCGCAATGCGAACAGGTTGTCGTAGCTGGCAGTTCCTGCCTTATTGGATCCTTATTGGGCCTTTCAGCTTCGTGGCTTAGCTGCTCAAGCATCATGGGCTGTGGCCTCAGCTCCGTAACTGACCGTGCTGTGGCTGCGGCCTCCGCCCGCGTGGAGAAGAATCAAGTGGTGGAGAAGGCGGTGCAGCGCGCGCTTCAGGCGGCAGTCAGTGAGCTGCAGGAAGTGGAGATCAAGCTTTGCGTGACGCCTCGGTCTGCGGCCTCTCCCACCTCTCCGGCCAGCGCCGCCAGCGTCACCACCTGTGGCACGGTCTCCGAGACCTCCGAGCGCTTCTCCGCCGCGGGGCTGCGGCGAGGCCGCGCCGCAGACCAGCTGGGGGCCACAAGTATCACCTGTGCCGAGGCGGTACTCATCACAGAGGAGGGCTGGAAGCGGTTTTTCTACTACCCCTTTGGCACGGTGGCTGCTGCATCGGAGGTGTGCCAGCAGTGGCAGCACACGGCCCGGATTCTGTACCGCTTCGATGCCGACCAGGGCTTTCTGACCAAGGAGCTGGAGGTGCACGGGGGAGCAAATCTGGGGCCGGGCACCCAGACAGTCAGACTGTCAGACGGTCAGAGCGGAGTGGCGCGCAGCCTCAAGGTATCCTCAAAGTGTTACGAGGCGAAAGGCTTTTGCAAGATGTTGCCAGAATTAAGGGGGATCACTGGCCAGGCACGGCTAGCTGCAATCACAAGTGCAGGCTTGTGACCAAATATGACTCACACGGAACTGCCACAAGGTTAAGCAGCCAGAATAGTGTTTGGAGGTATTGGAGCAAGGACTTATATGAGCCGAGATGTTGACAGGTCACCTGGCTGCGAGCGGGAAGTATCCTAGGGCAAGCCGAAATCGGTTGATGGCATCGCCGAGGCTTTCTTTGCCTGCGATTCGCAGTCGGGCAGAGCCTCTTCTGCTTGCCTAACATGCTGGGAGACCAGGTGACGCACGCTTTCACTCCAGAGGTAAAGCGCATTGCGGCATTGCGTGAGGCTTTGAGTCTTTCAGGAGCTCCAGTAAGTATGCCAAGACATATCTAAGCAGCGGAGCTTGAAAAGCCATATGTCAGTATTGGGCTGCGCTGTCCCGGGAGTGCTCACGTAGCCAAGCTGACGGTAGAACGATGACAATCATTTGTTCGACAATTCATGCAGGAGCTTCCAGCCTCTAAGAGGACTGGTGATTAGAGGAACGGACTTGGTCTGCAGAGTTCAACAAAGCTTAGATGCTGCCCGCCTCACTTGAGTAGTCGGACTGCTGGATGGGTCCCAGATTTTTCGCATTCAGCCGAGCGACTTTCATAGGCAACATCTTCCAGAGGTACTCCCGTGGTTTCACCGAGAGTGTGCCGCTGTGTGCAGGTACTGATTACCACAATGCCTTGAAGTTGGGCGCGTGACCCAGCCATGGGCTGCTTCCGATTCCCGACGGTTTTTTTTGGTCTCCACGACATGCTAGCTTCCTGACAAGCCTTTGGTGCCCGCGCTTGAGCATCAAACATTTTGAGGCTTCCACCCTCCCACCCAGCCAGTCTAGGGTCCGCAGCTGTCGACTCCCAGGGCTGCACTCGGATACCTTTATGAAGTACTTGGAGTTAGAGTCACACCTCGGGCTTATAAAATGTGACCACTATGAGAGCCATCGGCCGGAACCCCACAGCTACCTCCCTGATATCATTGGAGGTCTTCGGTTGCACCTACCTGCTTGGGACCAATTTGGACTGTCAGATTGCATCAGATTGCACCAGTAACGCAAAAAGGTTGGACGCATTCGCATGGCGTCAGAGGCTACGACGTGGAGTCCCTTCAGTGGCCAGACTGGCTGAAGCGCAGTGAGGTGGCCCATGGCTAAGAGGCGGCGAGCTCTGCTGACTCTCTCAGCCGCCCGGGTCGCTCAAGGCGCCTCTGCTGCCGGAGAAGGTGCTTTCTCCCGGGGAGACGGTTGGATACATAGGCGCCCATGGGATTGAATGCCAGCTTTGGCAGCTTTGAGCGAGAGTCCTCCGCACAAGGCGCCGGACCTGCATCCTGGCGCGGGGCCTCGTGCGTTTGTCCGGCAAAGCTGTGCCACTGATGGCATTTTTGGCGCGAAGTGCGTGCCAGGGTTCGAGCCTAGGCTTGGATTGCCGGAGTCCTGCCGAGTTGCGGCTGGCACCACTGTGGATTCCTCAGTGGCTGATTCAGCAGAGCTTTGGGCAGTCTCGGTAAAGCTCTATTCTGCCCCAGAATTGGCGCCCCTTTTGACTTTGTTCTTGTTTTTTTTAGGCCCCCATTATTTTCCACGTGCAAAACGTATCGTGTTTTGCTGGGGTCCTAATTCCAGCCAAGTATTGTTTGTGTTTTTGTTGCCCATTTGCACCCATGAAGCCGATGCCTCAAGCACCGCCAGGATTCTATCGCAGCTTTCTTGGCTGCAGGCACCTCCCAGGCCCGTCGTTGTGACAAAGGCTTTGGCCCACGAAATTGCTGAAAGCGTCCCCAAGGCGCAGCATTCGATGTACCTGCTATGATTGGTAAGTCACCTCCATTGTTCTGTGGGTCTCGCGGGCGGTTTTGTGCATGTGCATGCGCACGTGTGGGTGTTGGGGTGCTGGGGTGCTGGTGTGTTGGTGTGTTGGTGTGTTGGTGTATGCGCGTGTGTTATTGCTCGTGATGAGGTAACTTCAGAATTGTCGTAGACCGTCTAGTAAAGGGGAAAGGGGTTGATTTCATTCAAGACTTTTTTGTTGTTTCTTGGAAAACGATAGGGGGTGATAGAGGTCGGACGAAACGCGATACCTCTTATGGCCGAGCGATTTCAATATTGAAAAACAAGAAACGCGCTGGCAAACGCAAAAACAACAACGAGTTGTCAAACGACGCCGGCCGATAAAGAAATCGCACAGCGAGGGGGCTTTGACAACTGCAGTCCTTCAGAGGGTTCATCGGGCACTTTGGATCATAAGATGTTCAAAAAACTGATCTCCAACGGATTGCGGATCATGCGCGTTACGGCAAGTGGCTTCCGGATTCCGGATTATGGATTGCGTCTATTTCGATGCTCCAGCATGAGGTTTTCACCCACAATTTTGCAGCGCGGAATTCAGATTTAGAGCCAACCAGAACAAGGATGCAGCATACTAATTGCGGATTGTGATTGGGACCCCGGGATTTCGAACAGGCTAGACTCGGATTAAAACCTGAACAAGTGTGTGTGTGTGTGTGTGAGTGTGAGTGTGTGTGGGTGTGGGTGTGGGTGTGGGTGTGCGTGTGCGTGTGCGTGTGCGCGTGCGTGTGCGTTTGCGTGTGCGTGTGCGTGTGCGTGTGCGTGTGCGTGTGCGTGTCCGTGCGCGTGTGCGTGTGCGTGTGCGTGTGCGTGTGCGTGTGCGTGTGCGTGTGCGTGTGCGTGTGCGTGGGCGTGGGCGTGGGCGTGGGCGTGGGCGTGGGCGTGGGCGTGGGCGTGGGCGTGTGCGTGTGCGTGTGCGTGTGCGTGTGCGTGTGCATGCGTGCGCGTGCGCGCGTGCGTGCGCGCGTGCGCGTGTGCGTGCGTGCGTGCGTGCGTCGTGCGTGCGTGCGTGCGTGCGTGCGTGCGTGCGTGCGTGCGTGCGTGCGTGCATGCGTGCGTGCGTGCGTGCGTGTGTGTGTGTGTGTGTGTGTGTGTGTGTGTGTGTGTGTGTGTGTGTGTGTGTGTGTGTGTGTGTGTGTGTGTGTGTGTGTGTGTGTGTGTGTGTGTGTGTGTGTGTGTGTGTGTGTGTGTGTGTGTGTGTGTGTGTGTGTGTGTGTGTGTGTGTGTGTGTGTGTGTGTGTGTGTGTGTGTGTGTGTGTGTGTGTGTGTGTGTGTGTGTGTGTGTGTGTGTGTGTGTGCGTGCGTGTCTGTGTCTGTGTCTGTGTCTGTGTCTGTGTCTGTGTCTGTGTCTGTGTCTGTGTCTGTGTCTGTGTCTGTGTCTGTGTCTGTGTCTGTGTCTGTGTCTGTGTCTGTGTCTGTGTCTGTGTCTGTGTCTGTGTCTGTGTCTGTGTCTGTGTCTGTGTCTGTGTCTGTGTCTGTGTCTGTGTCTGTGTCTGTGTCTGTGTCTGTGTCTGTGTCTGTGTCTGTGTCTGTGTCTGTGCGCGTGTGTTTGTTTGTTTGTTTGTTTGCTTGCTTGTTTGTGCTGTGTGCGTGTGTTTGTGACTGTGTGCTTGTGACTGCGTGTGCGTGTGAGTGCGCGTGTTTTGCACATGCCTATGTTTGTATTCGAGTGCACTTTCATATGCTTGCGCTTGCCGGTAAATGCTGGCAAGTTCCCTCGATATCCAGGTCGGAGAGGCAGTGACCTCACTCGGCTCAACACTGGCGCGGCACCAAGTGGTTTAACCTAGACGATGTTTGAAAATTAAATTGACGTCATTTGCGATTTTGCGTTGCAACCATTGGCCAGGCCATTAAAATGCGAAGCCTTGTTCGGGTGGAGGACTCTTCCTTCGGAGCCCGCAACTCAGCACAGGCTCCTCCTTCCCGCTGCGAGCGACTGCGCCAGGTGAGCCACAATCAAAACCTGGGTAGATGAAGGTTAGTAAGGGACGATCCCAGCCAGAAATAGCTGCGGCCGCTTTCTTAATCCTGTACATGGTTCTGGGTAGACCATTTTAGTACCAGGTTTTGATTGCGACTCAGGTGTACAGCCACCGGTTGGGGGGCGATCCGCTGCAGTGGCTGGCGCCAGCCTTAATTATCCAACTGCCACGAATTCACGTGGCTGGGTCAAAAATATGTACCCAAAATGGAACCCTGGTAAGTGGAACCAAGGACTCAAACCTGCGGTCCCCTGTGGTTTCATTTTGACCCATACCTACGTCTAGAATGCGAGCGTGGATCTCGCAAAAAAAAAAACGAGAATCGAACCCGCAGATGTTCATTTAGTAGATGGCGTTGTTTGCGTGTGTGGGCAAGCACGTTCTAGACAGCCACATGCAGTGGTTCACCTTCAAACTCAAGGGCTTGCTGGCAGGTTGGGCGCGGACTGACTGGGTTGTCAAACTCAGGTGGGTGGAGCTTCTAACACCGGCGGTGTAGTTCTGAGCCAGCATCTCAAGCCTGGTTTGGAAGAGCACCACATGTTCACTGTGTCTTTCAGGCTTGGGCTGCGAACATTGTTTGAGACAGCCTTTCTTCAGGAAAGGTCTTCACCGACAAGGCAAAGTGAGGGCTCGAGCAAGCCAAACCGACCAACCGATTTACAGATTGCAGAGGACAGGGCAAGACATGGTGTAGGAGTGCCGTTCACTTCTCTTGAGCCGAACTATCGGCCCTTTTGGCGCCAGGCCTTGAAGCATCTTAGTGCAGAGATTGATGCTGAGGCTGACTCAGGCACGCCATGCCCACAAAGCTGCTGGTCCTAAGGCGGAAAAAGGTCTCCCATGCGTTGACCCAAGTGAAGAGGCGAATTACGAGTTTCGGGCACCACATGTCAGCTATCTCAGCTTTGAGCTGAGCTGGGATGCTCATGGCCCACTCATAGCTGCCAGTTTGATGCACTTGGCATTGCAGTGCCAGGGCTGGATTATTACCCCTTGCCTTGCAAAGGGCAGCCGAGTCCCTAGCAGGCCCATCAGGCTTTGGCATGTCTGGCATGTCTGGCTCATGCGTGACGAAGAGGCTTACTGCACCACGTTCCTGGTTGCCACATGTATTGAGAGGCTTGGAGGGTAAACGACGTAGTGTGTGATCTCGTGACTTGTGGGAACATTTGAGCAGAAGAACAACATCGCATGCGCACGCTCACATGGCGATTGTTTGGGGACTGGGCCCAGGCGATTCCCCATCTCTGACGATAACTTGGAGCCGCGTCTCGAGCCACGGCCAGAAAGCGACGCGGGGCTGCCCAGCGCGAGTTCTTTTTTCCGCCCAGCGCAATTTGTAAGTTTCGAGTCTCCTTCTGGGCTTAGGCATCTTAGGCCAACAGTTCTGAGGCCCAATTCCTGCACGGCATCTTGGAGGGCATGGCACGCATTGAGGCCGGCAGCCTATGGTTAGGCAGGCAGCAGACTGCCCGGCGTTGCGCCAGAGGCAGCCAGCTTCCAGAAATTGGAAGAGCTCGGTGCCGGCAGACTGCGGCGCGTTTGGGTGCTCAGTTCAGCTAATTATGGTTGAACTGCCTGATCAATTCCTGGAGTGCCTGCGAAGTGGCATCTTCTTTTGCATGGCTTCGATTCAAAGAGCCGTTCGTGTGCTAGTCGTGTGTGTGGTTCTGAGGTGGTTACAGCTGGAGGGGGCGCCAAGAACCCTACATGGCACGCCTGCGCAGTCTAGCCTTGGAGACATGGCTGTGGGTCAAAACTAATGGGATGCCATTTTGGGGTAGGTGCACCACCCATTTTAGTTTGTTTTAGTGGGGATTGGGATGTTCACTGGGGTTACGGGGTTTTGACCCATGGCCACATAGGTAAGGCCATGTTTTCCCATTTGAGCAATCAGCTTTTTGCAGGTGTCGGATTCGTCAACGGCTTATTGGGGTGCCAGCCGGCTTCCCAGGAGATGGCTCGAGCTGTGAATTTGCAGGCGACAAGCGTGCTTGGATGTCTTTAAGGGACACAGATATGGCTGTGGTTGTCAGACTTAATTGCCCGCCGGCAATCCTCTTGTCAGAGCCAAAGGAACCATTTTGGGGTAGGTGCACCACCCAGATTGGTCTTATTCTAGTGGGGATTGGGATGTTCACTGGGGGTACGGGATCTGTTACAGATGCTTTGCTTGAAAGATGACAGTACATGCGAGCATGCGTTGCTTCAAGCATCAGAGCAGACGATGTCTTGAACAAAGCATTGGTCCAAAAGACCTGGCAAAATCATTTCCACAAGCCCTTGTTACAGGCAAAGCACATCTCAGACTTGGAAGAGAGGCACCTTTCTGTAGATGTGAAATCATGTTCTTCGTTTTCATGCAATTTCACAGGCTTACCACTCAGGAACATTGCGGGCACAAACGCAATAGCTATATTCCCACACAATTTCGACAGTGGCCCAACAATCAGACCGGTGACTATGTCTTCATTCCATGCCCATGTTCTTTGACCAACTGTTGGCACAGAAAGCACACATGGCGACTGATGCACTCAGAAGATTCCACGAGAAATCTGCTGTGCAAGAAGCATCAACAAAGCGTTGGCAATGGAGACGCCAGTGCTGTCGACGTGGTTTGACCATTTGTTGTGACACTTTATTTTTCCACATACGAGCGACACACATTGCAACTTGTTTGCACGCAAACATGTAAGAACGATATATATATATATATATATAATATGATATGTACATGATATGTATATCGATTTGCCTGTATCTACAACTGTATATATATATATACATATATTTCGCTTGGTCGCAATGCGCTGTGCTCACGCGATGCTCATTGCTTTGGGTCATGATGCGAGCCGGTTGTCAACATGGCGTGCGCGTTGCGCATACCAGTGGTAGATTCATGCTATCCCGCAGGTCCCACATGTGGAAGCTTCTATACCCATCGCACTCGCGACGAGGTGGAGAGCGCCGAGTGGACGGAGGCTGCTTGTGGGGCCGCCCTGCTGGCCATGAAAGGCACTGCGCGCCATGATTTGGGCAATCGCTTAGGCAAGTCGACATCAGCAAACAGAAATTCAGGTATTGGCAGTGTTTTTGGTTACACGAAAGCTTAGTTGCCACGACATGAGGTCCACATATGATTGGCAGGCGTCTCTTTGCTGGGCGCACTCGCCGACCAGAAATGAGAGCGCGAAAGGGTCGATTCAGGATGAGTCACGCCAGAGCCAGAGCTAGCATGGTTGATTGCAGCGGCCTTGCCATTTTTCGCTTTTGCAGTTATCTCAGTCCAAGCCGCTTTTAGCGTCCGTGAGACCTGCTGCTGGCATTTGGCCATGGCAGAGGAGGAGCAAGCGGCTAAGCGGCGCAAGGCCTGGTTGTCCGGCAAGGTGACGCATAGCCAACGGCCGGGAAACGCCCAACTGTAAGCGGTTTGTTGGCAGTATGGATAGGGTTTGGCACTTGGCAAGCTTCTGGAGGCCCTCGCCAGACTCGACTCGCAGGCGGGTCACAGGACGTTTCGAACGCATGTAGTGCACCATTTGACGAGCGCCAGCAGCTCTTTGGACGGTATGCACAACGGTGCCAGGCCTTTCAGCAGAAGTCTGTCTACGCAGACACCAACGGGGTTCCAAGGCCAGCGCTTTCGGCGCTTTGATGTTTTGCTTCGGGTTCTCAGCAGGTCCGGGACACCAGGTCGAGTTCTGCATATTGGCCTGGCTGACGGGGAGCGGAGAGGGAACGGGCGAGTGAGCCGGGGAGCAACGCCAGATACATGCACCACGACAAGTTACCACCAAGACCGTAGGGTGCACGAAGATCCCAGACACACTGTGATTGAAGCCTTTCCAGGAGATCGCCAACCGGATTGTGGTCGTTGGCCTGCTGACAGCATGAGAAGCCATCAAAGTGATTGACCAGCAGACTGGTCCGCCTTGACTGTGCCAAGTTCGGCATGTTTCGCGGGATGCGGCATACTGAGCTTGGCACTGAGGACACCACTCCAGAGCTGAGCTGCTGAGTGGCTTCTTGCAACCGGAGGACGCGGCTTGGGACATTTTGTTTCAGCTTGCTGTAGGGAGGGCGTTTCAAAGCAATGATGCAAACGCACTGCCCAGCAGAGTTTCGTGATATTCTGAAGTGCGGGCTCGCCAGAACGGCAACGGCATTTTCAAGCTGGCCTCTGACCGCGGCTTTCTGACCTACACGGGCATGTTTGGAGGCCAAAGGCGGGACCAGTAGTCAAGATGGGCACGTGTTTGATGGCAATGTCTTATGCATTGATCGGTTGCGGGGAGTGATGCATGTGGATGTGTTTGTCAGGCTGAGCGTCGTTTCCATCGGGATGGGCCTTTCCATGATGGACCCCAAGCTTGTGGCCGCGTGTTTCCGTGAACAGCCGCATGCAATGGTGAACCTGGCAGCTAAAGAAGTTTGATGAAGTTTGTATACATGTGATGTTTGACATGAGCATTTGTCCATCAAGCGGGGCATGTGGTTCGATGATTTTCGGCAATCCCCCTTGTGGCATTGGACCATCTTGCTGGTTCTCAGTAGGGAATGATGGAATGAAACAATCCCCCATGGTGTTCTTTTCCGGACAACCCTAGGATCATTCCCAAAGCCCCAGAACCGTCATTCGCTAATGGGCACCAGCAAGCCACAGGAAAAGCGGCGGTTTTGGGGGGCCGCGTTTACGCACGCATTCGCGAGCGTGAGGACTTCTTTGCGCGAGAGGCGCGGGCGGTGGTGAAGGGCAACATGGCAGCGGTGAGGCTGGGCACGTGCGGCTGCCTGCAGGATTGGGTGACACTTGGCAAGGAATCAAAGGCTTTGCGCATGGCATGGTCAGTGGATGCGGAGTCGGCATGTGCAGACTGCGTCAGCACGGCAAAAGACGCCTGTTGAAGCTGGACAAAGCAAATACCCTTTGCAAGACCATCCCTTCTTCATCCTTCAACTGGTTGGACGCTTAATTATTCAGCCTGCATAAGGTCAAATAAGGCTTTGACGTTTCGCGGCGGGTCTTTGCAGGGTTTGGACACCGATCCATGGGGGAAGAGTTGCAATTGAGTGCCCAGCGGCCTTCAAGCTGAGGAAAGTGGGCAATGTGAGCGTGGCTTCGCAGGGTTCAGCGCTAGTACAGCGGAACTACAGATCCTTGGCAAAAGGGTATGTGTCAAAATTGAACGACTAGGATATGGACGGCAGGTTTTAGTCCTTGGTTCCATTTACCAGGGCTCCATTTAGGGTACCTACTTTTGACCCACTGCCAACTTGCATTTGGTCAAGCAGCCCTCGAAGAGCTTGCTGAGTAGCGAGAGGTGCGAGAGACCCAGGGCTTGCAATGAGGCCATTTTGACGGCAGCGCAGCTGACGCCCTTCAGCTGCACCTGTTCCACCCCGATCGCGGAGCTGTGGGGCTTTAGACAGACGCCCCCATCATATTGTTGCCTTGGCCGAGCAAATTGGAGAAACTATCCTAGAATGCCTTTAGGCATGTTGAACGAGCTGTCTTGCAAGGTCAAGCCATACCTACTGACAGAACTGTGCCTGCCTGATGATGAGCTCAATGCTGCAGTGGTTGGCGCATTGCGAGACGCCATGGGCGCAGACAAGGCTCGACATGAATCGGAGTTCGTGGCTGGCGACAGATTACTTGGTTCCGAGTTGTTCAGTGAACAACCTGAGTTGCAAAGCTGGTTCCATCTGCAGTGATGCAGGGTGCCTGAGCTGTTCAGGTGGTGGAAGGAGTCAACATCACGGCTGATTCGTTCTACTCTTCTCAAGGACGAGCAGATCCAGCCTTCAACGATGAAAATTCTGACCTTGTGTCAGAAGTCCTGGCGAAGTATCCGAATGCAATCACCATGGATGCTCAGATCCGCATTGGTGAGCCACGCACGCTTGAATTCACGCGGCGTGATTGACATACAGCAACGTGCACGGGCAGTACCATGCCGATCTATGCCACCTTGCTCATTTGACGTTTTAAAGCCTCTTGAAAGCCTTACTCTCCAGCTCTGAGCTTGTATCGTTCTGTAGAGACTCTGTGAGCTTCACCGGGCTAAGGAGATGGAGACTTTCCAGCTCTTCCACCTTGCTCGCAGCTGCCTGCCGAAGGCACATTGAGCCCGGCAGATCACACCTAGCTTCTTGAGTTTAAAAGTAAACGAGCAGCTTGTGTTGGAGGGCAACCTTGTTCGTCACAGATTTCCGGATTTTGCGGAATGCGTAGCGAAGGGTTGCCATTTATAAGTGGGGGCGTGGGGGTGGAGGTCGTGTTCGCGACATCGCCGTGCTGTGGGAATTTTGAGTATAGCGCCCTCGTACATCGCAGCTTGTGCGTCGTAGCTTTTGTGACGCTGCGTGGCGTTTTGCTGCGTGGTAAACGTGTCAAAGTTGGATTTAGTGGCAGGCGCAGCACTTTGTGCTTGCACTCGTTGTTTTGGAGGGTCACGTGCAGATTAGGCGCAGAACTTTGGTGCAACATGTTGTGAATTTTTCACAACCGTAGGGAGTAGAGAGACGAACAAATACATACGTGCATGGAGCGAGATACATGGATAGACAGTTGCAGATAGATGGGTCAATAGACAGACAGATAGCTGGACAGGTAGTTGACCGACAGAAAAGGTACGTTGTTTTCGTAGATAGACCGACAGGCCAACAGGCAGACTGACAAAGAAAGGCAGGGACTTAGTACAAAGATAGATTAGACGGATAGCTTCGGATGGAGCGGCTGGCAGACAGGAAGGAAACTTCTCAGCGCAAAAGTCGCGCGCAAAGTACACTTTCCGAGCCTGTGGCTTCTAGGGGGTTTGCCGAACTGCCGCAAATCTTGAGGGGTGTCACTTGGTTTGTGTCGCAGCTTGGGCTGCGTGTGCCTTTGCGCTGATTGGTTTGCCTGGCTGGCTCCTTGCTGCGCCAAAGTTACTCCAGTTGGGGTTTTTGATGAATATGGTTCCGTTGGTGTGGGGTCGGGTGTGTGAACGCCGTCTTGTTGACCCCTGATTAATTCCCTCCTGTTTATTAATAGCGGGGTGTCCCTGGGTGAAAGGGGGGGACCCCCCTGTTACTAAACCGGGGTTTATTTCTCCGGGGTCAACATCCGATGACCCCGGCTCTCCATGCGGTTTGCTGGTCAGGGCAGCTTCAGAGCAGCTGCTGCGGTGGTCAACGTGGCGAACCGCCCCACAGGTAACTCAACAAAAATGATCAGCGGAAACAGTCTGCTGCAGGTGGGCCCTGCAATTCAGCAACCTTGTTTTCAAGTTCAGGTTCGCAAGAAGCTTGAGCGGCAAAGAACGTTTGCCTACCAAGGTTGCTGGCCAAAGGCTTGCTTTCTTGTGTGTGTGTGTGTTTTGTGGTTTTGTGTGCTTGTATCGTTGCGTTTCGACGTATTCGTGTGCTGTTTTGAGAGCTGTGCATAAAATACCCAAGGCGATGTCGTGGGAGAGGAAGCCCTCCGCACGGCTGAGAGTGTGGGCGGGAAGGCCCTTTTGCAGGCGCTCGCAGTCACGATGTTGCGAAAGGCATTGGTTGCGTTGGTTGCGGTAGTGTTTATGTGCAACAAGGTTCGTCCCAGATATGACTTATGAAGAGGTAGTAACGCACTGCTGCTGAGCAAAAGTGAGTTTTATTATGCAAAGTGCAGCGTGCCAGCGTTCGGGGTCACTTCCACTTGCTTGTGGCTTGCAGGCCTTATGCAACCTGCAGCTATGATTCAATTGGATCTGCGCAGGATCAATTGTGGATGCTGAAAACGGAATGTCAGGATACTGCTTGATTGTGCTGATCTTGCTGCGGGAAGCGCTGTTGTAAAGCCTCTTGAGTCCGCTGGCCATGCGGCCCAAGCAATAAAAATAATACTAACTGCGGGGGGTATGGTGCAGTAACGACTGGTGGGGCATAACACGCTGTCCCCAGTAGCAAACACATGCTTTCAGGATCCAGCAGTTGGTCTATTCACTTTCCAGTGTTTCTTAGCTTATGTATCAATCAATCAATGTTCAAGGGTCAGCTTAGCATTTGAAGCATGCTGGCGCCAATTGCGCGAGCACCTCGCTTGGCCGCGAAGCTCCCTGGCTTCCGCGCCTGGGAATGGGCACGTGCCGCCAAAAATGCGCCGCATGCGTCGCATGAGCCGCGTGCGGCATTCGGCGCCGCGGCTGTGCTGGGGACGTTAGCAACGCGCGGAGCGCGCCAGGGCTCAGGTCGGCAGGCAGGACGAGGGGGCCTCAAGGAGGTTCCGCCATTCAGTCAGTTGAGAGAGCTGTGGCGCCGGAAGTTGAGGATCTCGGCAGCCCTGTGCCTCCTCATGACCTTGCTCTGGCTATTGCAGGGCTACCAGGGCTGGCAGAACTTGAAAGCTTTCAACTTGACCCAGCCCTGGTACAAAAGACTTCCCAGCTCTACAGCGCTTGAAAGCTGGCTTTTGGGAACCCATCCAGTCGCATCGATGTATGGGCGGCGGTTCGCAATTACGAAGAGCACTCTTCAAAAAGACTTCGGCATGGACGCGCTTATGGTCGATAACGGGCAGTTTCATCGCTTGCTCACCTCTTGCTTTCTGCACAACAGCGTCTTTCACATCCTTTTCAACCTGGGCTTTTTGCAGCTCTGCAAGGTTCAAACTACAAACTGCTTTTGTTTTTTCCTTTTTTAGACAGTATGTCATGGCCTGCCCCCTACCGGAAGAAAAAGCTGATGTGCTGCCCAAAAAGCAACTGATGGCATCCAAGAAGAGTGCTGCGGAAAAGCGCCAGCTGTTGAGGTACACGTTGGCACCCCTCGAGGTGGGCTGCCAGGGTGTCTTCCTAACAACATTTCTGCTGTCGGGCATTGCTGGCAATTTGGCATTCCTCCAGTTTGGACAGGCCAGGGCTGCATGTGGGTTGTGAGTTGTGGCATGGATATTGGCAGATGAGGGGAACTTATTGATCCACCTAGACTTTACGCAAAAGGAATCTGGCATAAATGGGCACCCCAGATAGATAAATCTCTGCGAGAAGGTAAGCCTGCTATTACTTTTCTGTTCCCATGACATGCAGGCTACTCCTTCCCGTCAGTTCTAGGCGCGTTCTGCGCTGGGTGCCTCTGGAGCGATCTGCGGGCTTCTGGGCTTTGAGCTGGTTGCCTTGCTGCGGAACCGCCGCATCCGGCGCTTCAAGATGCTGCTGCGCTCTACGTTTGGCACCTCGAACCTTGAAAATTATGCCGGATTCATGCAGCGTGCGGAGTGCGATCACGATGTGCGAATGTGAAACATAACGTGTCGTCACACATGTGTGCCTGTGGCTGTTTGTTGAGATTTGGGTTGCTTCAGCCACGAAGTGGTTTATTCTGTTCATGAATTCGCGGTGGCATGAGAATCATCCGTGAACCATCATTTGTGCAATAGAGTGAAGCTACGTTACATGGACGAAAACACAGTTGTGAGTTGGCGCGCTTGCCAGCGCTTACTTTTTGTTCGAGTAGCTACTTGCAGCTGTTGCTGCTTGGCTTTGAACCTCACAAAGGGTTTCTTTCTCTTCCCTTGTGCTTGAGGCCAGAGGGCAAGAGCAGGACTGAGCTTAGATCACAGCTCCATTCCTGCCTACCTTTTGGGTTGATCTCGAGGTATGATCGTCATGGGCTTCTTCCTGCCTGGTGTCGCCAACAGCGCCCACTTGGGCGGCCTCGGCTGCGGGCTAGTGGTGGCGCTTTTATGCGCGAGGCGCAGCGGGTACCGGGGGCCTTTGCTGCCCTGGCCACTGCTGCTGCTGCTCCTTGCTGTGCCCGGCCGCCGCTTCTTGCCACCCGGCAGCCCGAGAATGCTTTGTATTGGGGGCGCGTGTTGCATTTCAGACCCCTTGTCACAACTGCGAGAATGGACCTTCTACAGTTCGGACATGTGCAGCTTGCATGTTTTGCCCCGGGTTTTGCGCGCAGCTGAAACCTTTTCCTTGACGTTAGCCTGTGCCTGTTGCTTCAGTTATCTCTTTGACTTACTGCTGAGTGCATGGTGAGTGTTTGAATGCGCATGGTGGCACAACATCGCTTCCTAGGCCGGCTGCGATGGAAGGCTTATCCATTGGGATCCAACATCCCGGAGCGCTTGCGTCTGGCATTGTGCTTTGAGACGGATATCAGGGCTGAATCAGGCCAGATCAGAAAAAAAGAGAGCCTCGCTTGCAACCAGCCCTCGGCATGAAAAACATTGGCACGATTGGCTGCCTCTGAATGGCTCAGGCTAGGCTAGCATGAAAGTTCAGCGGAGAAACCATCGCAGGCAAACGCTGCCATGTGCGCTTGCACTTAGCCTTGCCTTGGCCTGTTTGCATGGATTGCGGCTGAAGCCCTGGCGCGGGAGCCAGAATGACCTGAACGGCTTGACCTTTTATTTTCCCGCTGGGTCACAAAGGAGGCAGAGCTTTGTTGCCAAGAATTCCTGCGCAGTGAATTCTGCCCGCCCTGCGCGCCCAGCGACTGCTAGGCCAGAGATTGTGGAAGGCATCACTGACAAGCAAGCTTCCTGGGAAAGGTACATCCCTGCTCTGCTCATAGTGGTGCTAGTACTTCAGAAATGCGGGGCAGACGCGCTGACATGGTTTACGAAGGCAAAGCTTGGCTTGCCGTATTCAGGGAGCAATGCGTCGCTGGTGAGCGAGTTATTGAAATTCCCTCTTCTGCTCCTGTCGGTGGTTCTTTTCCAGTCTGCAGGGGAGTTGGCTCCTACGATTCGAGAAGCCTTCACCAAGTCACCCTTTGCTTTGTGGTGGGTGGGCTTGTTCTACGCAGCGCAGAGCATAATGTATTTTGTGTGTTTGCAGTGCACATCGGCGGCTGCGTATCAGGTGTTGAGCTGCCAGGCTAAAGGCTTGACTGACGTTGCTGTTAACGATTGGCAATCCGGGAGAAGATTTGTCGCCGTTGGCCCAAAACCGGTCAAAAGGGAACATGCCAAGCTGTTCTTTGACGAATTCATTGCTCCAGCGGGAATGCCAAGCCCCTGCCCTCAGCACGTGTTGTGCAAGTGTGGTCTGCATTGAAACGCCCAAGGCCAGACCAAGATGATTTTCACCGCAGGGTTCATGTGGCAGATGCTTGGAAAACGATTTTCGCGCAACCAGCTTCTTGGTCTCATGCTTCTGGTGCTTGGCAACCTGGTGGCACTGGGACTCAAGTCCATAGTCCAATCTGAACCGGCACAGCCCGCGTAAACCCCGCCGCATGCCACCCAAACAAATTGGGGGGGGGGGCACGAGCTCACCCATGAACTGACTTGTGGGATTCCTCATTAACTTCTAGTAATTTCCCTGGATTCCAATAGCTGCCTGTTTTACAGTTGGCACCTTCTACTGTGAACTTGCCACACTAGGCTGGAGCATCCGGACCAGACCAAAAAGCAACCCTGCAACTGCTAGTTCCTCAATGTTTCTCAGCGCGGCCATGAGTTCAAAGAACAGCACGGAGTGGGGTCAGCATGGAGTGCTTGCTTTCAATTTCTCCTTCCTGGAGAGAAAGACAAGACTTCGATAGCCCCAGATCTTTACATCCGCATGTGAGCCCACCAGTGTTTTGTTGTCCTGGTGGTCGCCTTGTGCACTCTTGTGGAAATGGTTGCTTTAGTCCAGTAAATTATGGCAGAATGCCATCTGAATGGCTCTGAGGATCAAATTGAAACACAACTTGTGCAGCACAGAGCCCTGGAAAAGTTTAGGAAGCTTGAGCGAGTGTTTCTAAGCCTTGGCAAAGCTCAGAAAGCCTTTGTTCACTTTGCACGAATTCAGTAAGGCCAAGATGTTCAAGGGACTGGTACGGTTCTACGATTTCAGCTCGTCGAGCTTTTTCAACGGTGACCTTGGGTGAATCGCGCCGTACCAATCATGGGCGTGCTTGCGGAAATGCCTTTGTGGGCGCGATGCCGGGGTGCCGGCTTTTATGAGTGGATTTGTATTGAAGCAGCACCGGTAGTCTACTGGACAGCAACCATGGGCAATGCAGGGTTCTGTTTTTGACTACCCCAAGGTAGACTTAAACCCAGGGGAAATCAACCACCCATGGCGACAACAGTTGACAATTTGTTCCTTGGAACTCTCTCCACTACACTCGTTGCGGCAAGGCACGGTGAGCACCACGTTGGCAGAGCTTTCAGAGCCTGTGATGCCGGGTGCACGGCCGTGGTTGGGTGCTGCTTTGGCAGTGCTCAGTGCTTTGCTTAGTGCGCTGCCAAACGTCTTCTATGAAGGCGTCCTCAAGGAGAACTCGTATGTGGATGTTTGTTTCTCTAAAAGGCTGGGACCCTTTTCTCATGTGGTTGGTTTACTATTGCTTTCCTCTTTAAACATGTTGAACAATATGTTGACAGGTCCAGAAGGTTTTTCCTGAAAAACCAGGTTCTGGAACTGATCAGTATTGGGCAATGCTACTTTAGTATTGGGCAATACTACTTTTGAATTGGGACATGTTTCCTGTTGACTTTGTATTGCTGGAGCTTCCTTTTGAATGTGATTTGAGCTGCCACTTAACTATTTGATTTATTGTTGTTGGATTTGAGCTTCAATTTGATTCAGTATAGCCGGACTCCTTGTGAGATGCTGATTTGAGCTTCCAGTGGATCTAGTATTGCTGGAGCTCAAAAGTGGGTGTGGCCCAGGTGGCCCCAATCAAAACCATGGGGACCCACATGATCAACATGGGCTGGGCGCTCATGTGGGGTACCTCATTTTTTGAAAGGGTTTGATAAAGCAATGCGCTTTCAGAAAGCCTAACTTTTTTTGGACGTCAGGGAGTTCTGGCTGATGTGTGTGCTGGCTTGGCTTTGCTGCATGGCTGTGCTAGTGCCCGTGCAAAGCTGTTGGCTTTCTTTGCCATGCATTCCCACGCAAGCTGAAAACAAATGAAAATAAGAAGGTTATAGCAGTATGAGCATGGAGAAAAAGGCAGCAGCGACATTATCAAGGGAAGTTGATTTTTTTACGTACTGGGGGGTGGTCATCCTTATTTTGTTGGGCTGTCTACTGGCAAGTTTGGTTGTTGTTTTCGCTTATTAGCATGATTCCAGTTTTTTAAATTGTCCAGTATTGGGGTGTCCTGGAAGACCAGTCTAATAAATGTGCTTGACTAATCCCACGTTGACATTGCCAACCAAAGGAGGTCCACCATTTTGAGAAGCCCCTGCCAAAGCTGGCGCTAACATACATTTGTAGTCCAAGGGTCTACGGTTCTCTGGACAGGAAGGCTTGCGACAAGCAATTCCAGGCTAGGCGAGCTGTGAGAGGCAGACATTGCACACGAAGGCTTGCAGCTGCGTGAAAAGAATGGATTTGTGCAAGCAGACAGGAGCAGAAGAACCAATGGGTCACCAATCTGCAGCTCACAGCATGGATCAGCATTTGGCTGTGCATCATCAAGGGGTGCCTGGGCTGACACGATGTGGTTCGTACTCCAGCGGGGTAGTTGGCATTGGATTGCCTGACGTTTGTTGCGCCACGCTAAACAAACTCATGGCCGTCTACGGAACCTCTGCTTCTCTGGCTGTTGTCGCATGTGCGGAGACGTTAGTTTCCAATATTCATGGGAGAAGAAACGACCCCGGTGCCAATGGTTTGTTTCTGCCTCTTTTTTCTGCCAACGTTTGCTTCACCTTTGATACTTTGCGGAACCCTAGAATGGGCCACTCTGGAAGCTTGAAAATCAAACGTTTTGTGGGAGAGTTTGGTTTGCTTGTTTGCCTGGAAACCCTTGCCGCAAAATTCCGGACAGAAGGTTGGCTTTGGGTACAGGAACATACTTATACTGTTTTAATATAGCCTCACACTCAGGCTGTGAGTTTGCTTCATTGCACGCAAACTCAAGTCTTGCAAGAAGGTGTCTTGTCCGAAACACTTGGTTTTAAACCTTCCTGGAAAGCGTTTGTTTCGATTAGCCACTGGCTCCTCCATCTCTCCGGCTCCGCCACGGCCATTGGCTCCGCCCATCTCTGCCCTCCCAGATGGCGGACCCGGCTCGCTGCCAAAGACTAGATGGCGTGGGAGGGGAGCCGTGCCGACCCATTTCTTCCCAGCAGTGTAGCGCAACTTCATCGTGCCCGAAGCACGAATTTCCGGCCCGGCGCGTCCTGCGTTTGTCTGAAGACTTTGACGGCTCCACCTTCAGGGCTAACGGCCTTCTTTTGGCAAGGGCCATTGCCTGCGTCACGCGCCCGCCTGACACTCGCTTGCTCCCAACTCTTGGCTGCTTTGTCGGCCACCCCGAAGCGCCTGTCAAGAAACTAGCAAAGTCTGACTTCCGACCCTGGAAACATGAGTGTCGCATTGCTGAAGCTGACCTTTCAACGCGTTTGTTCCTGGGCTCTCCAAGGCCAAAAGGTTAGTTTCCACCCGAAAAAGTAAGGGATGCTTTTCAGCCCAGAACCTTTCTTTCCGGTCCAGGTGTTGAACAAAGGTTTCTCGGCCAGCCTTGGGAAAATAAGCTTTCTTGCTCTAGTTAGAGACTTCTGGCTTAAAGTGCTGACCAAATGCTGACTAAGGTCGACGGCGCTGGTCAAGTCTGGAGGTTTTGGTATTCCGCACCTGGCAGACCTACTGTATGGGTTCACACCGCTCGTGTGGGCAGCTTGCCATTTTTAGCAGCGGCTGCTTGCCTTGCTCAGATTCACTTCGTAGCAGGTCATGCTGCGTGGAGTAAATTTGGCAGACTTGTACGCCTTGAAACTAGGTCATCGTTTTGCTCAAGACGCTGAACTGCGTTGTCATCCCCGCTTGCCTGAAGTATGGTGACAACATTCTCTACGGCTATGCTAAGCCAGTCTCCATCGCTGCTTTGCTTTGAGCTGATTGTTTTTGTTGTGTTTGGCAACCTTACTCGAGTTACTGCCCGTTGCATCACAAGGCGTGTCATTTGGATTTTCAAGTATTCTCCTTGTGGAGTGTTTTTGTGGTGGGAACCGAAACGCAAGCAATGAGACGACATAGCTTTGTTATTGCTGCACTGGTCCTGATGCCAGCGTTGGATATAGCATTGTCGCATGGGTCAAGTACCAGAAAAGTTTACTCATTGTTTGGCATGGCTTCGTATTGCTTTTGCTTTGCCTTTGCCCGCAATTTTTGTGGCATTGCTTAGCATTGTTAAGTGTAGGTGGTATTTGGTTGTGTTGCGCCAGTCGAGAAATCCTTTGCAGCCTAAAATGGCTCAGTCTCGGTCTTGCTGACCGCTTGTTGTTGTTTCGTTAAGTGGTTGCTAGCTGCTTGTGTCGGGACTAGGCGCTCTGCCGTGCGCCAGGCTCTCACATGTTTGGCTACGACAGCGTTTACTCGCACACCTCCCTCAATGACATTGGTGGCGGGCGTCATCCTCGTGGCTTTATCCATTATCGTCTACAGCAAGGCTGATTCAACCCAGCCATCCCAGAAAGCAGACAGGTGAGGAATTACTCTCCAAAAACCCTGCTGCAGAGAGTGCAATCCAGCGTGGATCGCCAGGCGTGTTGGCACATGCTAGAATGTGCAGTTTTAGAGGAGAAACTTAGCAAACGCGCGGGTTTCACGCAAGCTCCTCGTCTGCTGAGTTGCGACAGCGCTGTGCGAGATTTGAATCTGATTGGAGCGTGGCACCCTGTCACAAATGTCACATAATTGCCTGGGAATGCGAGCGGGCCTGGCGACAGAAAATGCGTTTTGCCCGCGAGGGCCAATCTTGTTCCAAGTTACACATATTTCCTCAGGTCAAGACAGACAGGCTTCAAGGTTTGCCCAGGTCGCGATCTTGTGAGAACGCATGCAGTTCAGCAGCGGTTGTTTGATTGTTGTTGTGTTGCTTGAGTAAAGAGGGTGCAACTGTTTTAGAAAAAGGATCACATGCCGTGAACTAGCCCCGTTCACCACAAACAAACAAGCAAGCAAACAAACAAACACAGACACGCACGCACGCGCGCACGCACGCACGCACGCACGCGCGCGCACGCAGACACACGCACACGGACACGCACACGCGCGCCCGCGCACAAGCACACGCATAAGCAAACGCACGCGCACGCGCACGCACACACCCACACCCACGCGCACACGCACGAGCGGACGCTCGCACGCACGCAGGCACGCACACACGTTTGCGCACACACACACACACACGCACACGCACACGCACACCCACACACACACACACACACACACGCACACGCACACGCACACGCACACGCACACGCACACGCACACGCACACGCACACGCACACGCACACGCACACGCGCACGCGCACGCACACGCACACGCACACGCACACGCACACCGCACACCGCACACCGCACACCGCACACCGCACACCGCACACCGCACACCGCACACCGCACACCGCACACCGCACACCGCACACCGCACACGCACACGCACACGCACACCACACACGCACACCACACGCACGCACACGCGCACGCGCACGCGCACGCACACGCACACGCACACGCGCACGCACACGCACACGCACACGCACACCCACACACACACACACACACACACACACACGCACACACACACACACACACCCACGCACACACACACACACACATGCCAACACACACACACATGCCAACACGCAACGCGCAACACACACCACACACAGGCACGTGCCCACAGACACGCACACCCACACCGGCACGCGCACGCACGCACACGCACACACGCGCACGCACGCACACGCACACACCCACACACACTCACACTCACACTCGGCCTTTCTTTGGACGAGCTGTTTGGTTTCAAGCAAGGGGCAGGTCGTGTTGCCAAACTTTGGCAAATGCTTCGCAGCTGTAGCGCGAAGCCAATGAGAAGAGCAAAGCTCTACCAACGGCGAGCTAGGTATGGAGTGCTTTTGCCTTTGGCCACCTTGTGCTCGACCGCCAGCTTCACATTCTTTTGCTGCTGCAGAAGCACGCCAATGCTCACAAGGCCACGTTCTGCTGGTGAGAGCTCGAGCCCAGTAACGACACTCACTCCCAAAACTGATGCGCATCAAAATCTGCAGTATTTGGCATGTGGCGGTGCCTTGGCGATCGGAGTGGCGGCATCAGCATGCCTGCCTGCAGAAAAGCCGCAGCCTGAAGCTGTGGCAGAACCACAAACTTGGCAGCAGAAGTTGGTGCCATTTCTTCTTCTGCTTGCGACTGTTATCCAAAAGTGTGCAGCAGATGCACTGACCTGGATCACCAAAGCCAAATTACACATGACCTACTCGGGAAGCCACGCCGCACTGATGAGTTCTATGATGAAGTTTCCGCTCTTGCTGTTCGCGGTGGCTGTGTTCAGTTCCCCAGGCAACATAGGACCTACTGTTCGGGCGGCATTCAAGGAATCGCCCTTCGCGCTGTGGTGGGTCGGCCTTTTGTATGCTGCGCAAAACTTGCTCTATTTCGTTTGCCTCCAATACATTTCGGCAGCTGCGTATCAAATCCTGAGCAGCTAGGCTGATGCATCGCGTGGCGCATTTTCATGGGTCGTGGCTAGCAGCTGCTAGTGTCTAAAGTCTGAGGTCAAAGCAAGATGATATTCACGGCGCTCTTTATGTTCCAGCTTCTGGGGAAGAGATTTGCGTTGAGACAGCTTGTCGCAGTCATACTGCTGGTCGTAGGCAACCCGGCGAAGTCAGAAAGACAGCAACACTCATGCATGATGAGGCATGTCAAGGATGTTATGGCTCATGGCGTTTGTGTGAGTCTTTCGCCTGAAAGCAGGAGTCCTGTCTGTGTGGGAGGGGATGGGTTGGTCACGTTTGAATTATAACCATTGCTCAAGTTTGGGCGTGTAGAAGCATGCAAAGGATGTATTGCGAAAGGATTGGAATGGCAACTTGGGCCGCGCACTTTGCATCATGTCGTGCACACATCTAAATACAGGCTGCGCTTGGCTGCCGCATCAGACTTCAAACATCTTAATGTCATTGCCTTAAGTCTTGCTGTTGGCCGCTTGTGCGCCCACACAGGTGGGACAGAGTCAGATGGCAAGTTTTGAGTGCGAGGGAGAGGGGGGGGAGCGACAGCCGCCAGTGGGCACTGCCTCGTCCAAGGCACCGTTGCCACTCAGTTGGCGGAGATCAAGGGACCGGTTGTGGAAGGGGCTCAACCTTGGATGGGTGCTGCCCTTACCCTGCTTAGTGCGCTCTTCAGTGCTTTGCCCAACGTCTTCTACGAGCGTTTGCTCAAGGACTCTGTATCCCAATGCGCTTGTCTTGCGATTTGAGATCTTGAAAACTTGTTTGGGGTAGAGTCAGCTTGATGGCCGAAGCCACAGTCGCAATTTCAGTCGCCTGCCCAAAAGTTGTGTGTTTGCCAGATCTGCTAGATTGTCCAATTTCCGCACCGTGCCAGGAGGACAAAAACCAGTGGGTGTCGAACGTTCAGCTGACAGCCTGGACATTACTTTGGGTGTCCATTCTCTCCTGGCTGCTTCGCAGAGCGTGTTGGCAGTTTTGTTCTTTCGAAGTTCATCAATAGCAAACTCACAATTGCAATTTTTCGGTGCAGGATCAGAAATAGACATGTAGTTCCAAGTGCAGCAAAGGTTGACGCGTTTGGTTGCATTTTGCTACTGGCTTTCCCAACCATCGCGGTGAACTTCCAACATGAAAGTAACTCCAGCGTAAAGCGTCGCAACGGGTTCCGGGCGCGCATTAACTTGGGAATTGTTCTTGTTTGGTCGCAAGGTATTCAATTGAGATCATTTGAGTATGATCGCAAATAGCCGGAACAGAGTCAGAGAGAGCGTAGAGATTGTCAAATGTGCATGGGTCAAAATTAAACCACCAAAGAACCGTAGGTTTTTAGTTTTTGCTTCCATTTACCAAAGCTCCATTTGGGTACCTGTTCTGACCCACAACCAAATGAAACAATGTTTGCTTTGCTAGCTGTATTCCTCGACATTATTTTGTGTTTGGGCTTGTGGGCCCAGGTGCGAAGGCGGAGCAAGTGTAAGCCTGCAAAGCCTGGGGCACTTTGCGTGTGCCGTCTCTGAGTTTAAGCCACTTGTCTGGGCAACCAGGCAGCAAGAACTCACATGCACATGGTTCAATAAATTCGCATTGTAAGGGTCCCAGCTTGGACAGCAGAAAGTCGACAAACTACATAGTTGCTTATCGCCAAGACTTTCGGGTGCGGAAGGGATCAGCATTCAACAGTATGTGTTTGGCGAGTTGCTTCTTGCCTTCGGGGTGTCCGGCGATTCTAGGCGACTTTGAGGGTAAGGGGGCAGTGGGAGAAAGGGTAAGGGGGCAGTGTCTTCTCCCACTGCCCCCTTACACATGCATCTGGCATTCTGCAAAAGACAAACGACACTCAAGCAGGAGTTCGCCTTTCGGGTTTGCGGATCTAGGTTAAGAATGGGGAGGGGTGTTTTTTGCTTAGCACCTTCTCGCGTAGCACCGGCTCAGGTGGCTGGTCGGTCGGTCGGTTTGTTGGTTGCTTGCTTGCTTGCTTGGTTGGCAGGTCAGGCGGTTGGTTGATTGGTTGCTTGCTTGCTTGGTTGGTTGGTTGGTTTATTGACAGGTCGAAAGGTTGGTTGGTTAGTTGGTTGGTTGGTTGGTTGGCTGGTTGGCTGGTTGGCTGGTTGGCTGGTTGGCTAGTTTTGTTGGCTGGCTGGCTGGTTGGCTGACTGGTTGGCTGACTGTTTGTTGCCCACGGTTGTGAATATCTTGCTTTGCGCGGCATGAAGCCTATCTCAATATAAAAAGGTATGACAGCGAAGAAGCCCTCAAGCCATCCACACGTTCCATCTTGCCTCGCCTGCAAATTTGCGGCCCCAGCTCCCGGAGCCGGTGCTAAGCAAAGAGCCGGTGCTAAGTGCTAAATTGCGTGAGGCCCCCCTGTGTATACCCCAAATCCATGAGATTAGCCAAAATTCATTAAACAGCCTGACTCCTCCTAGGTTTTGGTTGCTCCCTTACTTTTCCAACTCAATCCCCCTCAACAACTGCCAATCAATCAAGTATCAAGCCTGAAATGCATCCCCAAACCCAAAAGCCAACGTTGATTTGAAGCCTAATTTTGAACGCTGGAGCTGAAGTGCAAAGGAACACATGTTGAGCTGGGCCCTTGCGTTGCAAAGGCCTCCAGTATGTGCATTGCCCCAGCCTCCAAAATGCAACCATAAATCCAAATTGGAGGTAGTGGGAAATATTGCAATATATGTAATATATGAAAAATGGCTGCAACATGATATGGGCCATAATGATTTTCTTAGCAGTGATGAACATTGAACGGTGTGCTTTCTTTTTAAGGGACCGGTCACCTAACAATGGTGGTGTTCCTCGTAATTTCCTTTTACAAGCGAGCCCAAAATAGGTTCCCCTCTAAAAACTGCCCATGAATACCCATAGTGTCCCCGTTGGTCCGTTGGGGGGATGATGTTGGGAGTTGGGATGGTGTCACACCACAGGATGTGAGTCTGGCTCAAGCAACAAGATTTGAATATGAATTCGATATGAAATCACAGTTAGTACCAGGAGCGCCGGCCGCCACATCGATGTTTTCCCCCTCATGGCTTCGTCCACTGCATCGCAGTGCTGGAAAGCGCAAATCCCTCGGCAAATTGCCAGGCCAACACAAGTTCGGTTGCTCCACATGTCCACGCAAACTCAAACAAAGGCACACTATTCTTTGAGGGTGCCGGAAACTCCAACCTCGAGCCTCAGAGCCTCAGAGCAACCGCAACCGACCTACCCT